TATCTGACTTCTGCTCAGGTCATGATCTTGAGGTTCCTGAGTTTGAGTCCCATGTCAGGCTCTGTGCTGACAGCTCAGAGCCTGGAGCCAGCTTCAGATTCTGTGTCTCCCTCTCTCTGTGCCCCTCCCTGGCTTGCACTCTTGTCTCTCTCTCTCTCTCAAAACTAAATAAACATTAATATATATATGTGTGTGTGTATATATATATATATATATATATATAAAATTTATATATGAATGTTAGTGTGGAAAGGTTTAACATGTTTAATTGGACTCTGTAAAGGAGAGGAGATGAAGAATGAGACAAATGTAGTATTTGAAGAGATTACAGGTGAGAACATTCCAGGATTAATGAATATCCACTGAATTTCAAACAGCATAAGTAAAAATAACTCCATTCCAAGATACAGCATAGTGAAACCGTAATGGTTTTGCAGAAAACCAGAGAAAGGGAAAAATCTTAAAAGCTGCCAGAGAAAAACTCTCTTCAAAGGGATGACAGATTAATAGCTGATTTTTCAGTAATAATGGTGGAAGGGGAAAAGGTCGACATCATTAAAGAAAAAACTGACCAGTCTGTTATTTCCAATCAATGAAATTTTTTCAAAGAGGAAAGTGAAATAAAGCCATGTTCAGCAAAACAAAACTGTTCAATTAGCCAGGAAAATATAACAATTTTAAATTTGTGTATACCCTATAAATAGTCTCAAAATAAAACAAGCATTGACAGAATTACATGGGTAATTCTGAACATTACCAAATTCTGAACCCAAATGAACATATGGGTTTTTTTTTCTATTTGACTTGATTTAGTAGTTTTTTTTTTAAAACTTCACTAACTGATAGATTGAATAGACAAAATATCCATAAAGATACAAGATTTAAACAATAGGATTGACAAATTTGATACAAGGGATTTATGTAGAACACCATACCCAACATACATTCCTTTCAAGCACACAAAACACTTACAGAAATGTTACAGGAGACCTTAGAGCAAATTTTAACAAATTTGAAATGGTCAAAATAATAGAGTATATTTAACAATGAGAAGGAAGAAATCAATAACAAAATAGATTAAAAAGGAAAATTTGGAGGCCATGAAACACCCTTTTAAATAAACCTTTGATGAAAGAATAATAAAAATTAGAATTTTGGGGGACCTGAATGATAAAACTATGTATTTTAGAACTGATAGGAAGCAGCTATACATTACTTAGGAGAATTTATGGCTTTAAATAAATACGTTTGGGGCGCCTGGGTGGCGCAGTCGGTTAAGCGTCCGACTTCAACCAGGTCACGATCTCGCGGTCCGTGAGTTCGAGCCCCGCGTCAGGCTCTGGGCTGATGGGTCAGAGCCTGGAGCCTGTTTCCGATTCTGTGTCTCCCTCTCTCTCTGCCCCTCCCCAGTTCATGCTCTGTCTCTCTCTGTCCCAAAAATAAATAAACGATGAAAAAAAAATTTTTTTAAAGGCTAAAAATTAATGAGTTAGACGTTTGAGGTTGCCAACCTTAGAGTCCTCTCCTATGTTGTACCAGGGTTCTTTGGTGACCAATAGAATTTGGCAAAAGTGATGGTATGTCATTTCTGATATTAGAAAAGACACTGTTATTTCCATCTCAGTTACTCTTTGTTTTCTTGGATCATTCACTTGGGAATGCCAACTGCTATGTCATGAGCAGTCCTATGTAGAGGCCCATTTTGTGAAGTACTGAAGCCTTGCCAGCCACCACATGAACGAGGTTGAAAGTAGTTCTTCCAGGGGAGCCTGGGTGTCTAAATTGGTTAGGCGTCTGACTTGGTTCAGGTCATGATCTTGTGGTTCGTGAGTTTGAGCCTCGAGTTCAGCTCTGTGCTGACAGCTCAGAGCCTGGAGCTGGCTTCGGATTCTGTTTCCCTCTCTATCTGCTCCTCTTCACCTCACGTTCTGTGTCTCGCTCTCAAAAATAGATAAACATTTAAAGAAACGGTTTTTAAAGAAAGTAGTTCTTCCAGCCCAGTCAAGCTTTGCTATGACTGCAGCCCTATTTGACATCTTCATTATGATGAAGGCTCATGAGAAACTCTGAGCAGGAACCACCCATCTGAGCTGCTTTTGAATTCTTGATCCAAAAAACTGATAAAATATTGTTTAAGCTCCTAAATTTAATTTGTAATGCAGAGATTTATTATTAATATGCCATCCATTTCAAGAAGACAAGAATAAACCCGAACAAAGTAGAGTGAGGCAAATTGTAATGTTATTTTTAATATGAAAATTCTCATTTATTTTTATTTTTTATATATTGGAGGAAATAATATGCATATAAGAAGGCTGACATAAAAAGGGGTGTATTTAAATTTTTTTAAGTTTATTTATTTTGAGAGAGAGAGCACACATGTGAGCATAGGAGGGGGAGAGAGAATCCCAAGCAGACTCTGCACTGTCAGCATGGAGCCCGATGTGGAGCATGAACCCTTGAACCATGAGATCACGACCTGAGCTGAAATCAAGAGTCAAATGCCTAACCAACTGAGCCATCCAGGTACCCAGGAGTACGTTTAATTTTGATAAATCATTATCTATTATATAACATCTTGGGATGAATGGCATAAACATAATGTGTAAATGGATATAGTCTTACTTAGGAACGTGGAAATGAGATTAAGTTAATAGCAGTTTCTTTTGCAGATCTTTCTAGTAGTAATGGTGATACAAGGAAATTAGGAGGTTTATTATAAAAAAATTACTCATAAAATACTAGATCTAGAAAATGATGATCAGATGTACCTTCTGAAGGACATACATAGCAACACCTATGTAGTGTTTTTTGCCAAAAAAAAAAACCACCTAAATTTGATAGTTTCTAGATCTACTAATGAATTGGAAATATAGAGGGCCGAGGAACATGTCAAATGACCTAAGAATAAGCAGTCAGCAAAGTCCTAATGTGAGAAATACTATTTCACAAATGACCCAGTGTCTTCAACCAATAAATTAGGCCAAAAAAAGTAAATGTAATGGAAACCCATAGGTTTAAATAGAGCTAAAAATACACCAACCAAATGCAATTTGTGGACTTTATTTGGGTCCTGATCTTATCAGACTGTTAAAAAAAGAATATTTGTAAGCAAATCAGGAAAACTTGAACAGTAACTGATATAAAGGAGCTGCTAATTTTTTCAGATGTGATAATATTTCATATTTTTTTACAAATTCCTTTTAGGAATAGGTTTTGAAATGTCGATGAAATGATGTTGTGTTTGTTTCAAAATGATCTAGTTGAGAATGGGGATATAGGTGAAAGATTATTGTTCATGCATGATTTGATAATTAAAGCTAAGTCATTATACAATTCTCTCTACTTCTAAGTATGTTTGAAATTTTGTTTAATAAAATTTTTTTAGAAATTAATGAAATAATACATGTAATGGAAAAGATCAACCAAATAAGTTGTGTCTTTGATAAAACTAATGAGTCAGGAATATAAGGTTCATGGTTATATAGTTCTTAAAAATTTCACATTATAACTACCACTTCCAATGCCATTCACAAGGCATATTTCATCTTTTTAAAAAAAGTTTTGTTTAATCTTTATTTACTTTTTGAGAGAGAGACAAAATATGAACAGGGGAGAAGCAGAATCTGAAGCAGGCTCCAGGTCCTGAGCTGTCAGTACACAGCCCGACGTGGGGCTCGAACTCACGAACCATGAGATCGTGACCTGAGCCGAAGTCGGATGCTCAACCGACTGAGCCACCCAGGCGCCCCAAGGCATATTTCATCTTAAAGATAATATATTGTCAAAAATCGTGTTTAATTTTGCTTAACTAGTGCTTCTCAAACTTGATTAAGCACAGCCATCTTTGTTTTTCTCCTTTTTTTCTAACTTCATATTGTATTTGCCATCATAGTAAACAGTGTTCCTAAGTACTTGCTCAGGAAATTCTGACTTCTCCAGTTTTATTTATTTATTTAACAGAACTAGGTCTTGTACATCTTTGATAATATCTTGCTGATAATACTCTCCTTGAGTATATCTGCTTATAATGATCTGTGAAAAACTTTTGAGTGGTTCTGCTACTCAGTTACTTACAATTTTGAGGGTCCATAACTCCCTTTTTATTATTTCAGTACTTTTTATAACTGCGTCACTTCTTGTGCTATTTTGCATTTATTTGTTTATGCCTCTTTTCTATGGAACAATGAGCACTTTGAGGATAAGATTACCTATTTTTTTGAGGTATAATTGATTTAAGATTATGTTTTACTTGTCGTGATAGCCATAGAGTCTAGTACTGTTAATTAGTTGGTATGTATTTATTAAATGTATTTTGAGGTAGCTAGGTTCTGTTAGAAAAACTTGACGGATGGCCTGAAAGATGAATCACCATTAATAATGTTTCTTTGGGGGAGGGGGGCGCCTGGGTGGCTCAGTTGGTTAAATGTCCAACTTCAGTTCAGGTCATGATCTTGTGGTCTGTGAGTTCCAACCCCGCATCGGGCTCTGGGGTGACATCCCAGAGCCTGGAGCCTGCTTCAGATTCTGTGTTGCCCTCTCTCTCTTCCCCTCTCCCACTCACTCTCTGTCTCTCAAAAATGAATAAACATTAAAAAAATAAAAGTAATGATTCTTTTGGGGGGCAGGATTTATCTTCTTTTGGTAGGATGTTAGAAACTATATTATAAATGTAACTGATTTAAGTGAACTTTTACAATGCAACTCATGCAAGTTGGAAGCTTCACAGTATTGGTTAAAATATGTATATGCATTTAAAAGTTTATGGTTTTATTTATTTATTTTTATGTATTTAATTAATTTATTTTTAATTAATTTATTTTTATTTAATCAGTTAATTAAATTAAATTAAATTTATTTTTTCAAAACATGTTTATGAACCAAAATTAGTGGCACAGTGCTAACAGAATAATCTGTTTCTAATTCTAATCAGAAGAAAACCTATTTGATCCATTTTGTGAGGATACTTGAAATATGTTTAATAATAAAGACAACCAGTGTTCTGTTTTTACTTTTATTTGCATTTATTTGTTGCATAATTTACTCTTGGCCATACGTTTTTGTTTCTTCAGTTTCTTCTGCCATATATTTTTCTTCTGTGCAACTTCCTCTTCTGGTTTAGGAACAATCTGCTCTTTTTCAGTAAGGATCGTCTCAATGTGGCAGGGAGAGCTTATGTATGGGTTAATCCGACCATGAGCCCTGTAAGTTCTATGCCACATTTTGGGGGCTTTGTTCACCTGGATGTGCTCAATGACCAGAGAATCTACATTTAAACCCTTAAGTTCAGCATTACTCTCTGCATTTTTAAGTATGTGCAGTAAAAATTCAGCACTCTTTTTGGGCCAGCGACTCTGTGTCCAGCCCCACTGTTTGGCCTGGGCACATCTACCAACTTCACCATTGTAGCATTGGAATGGCACCCATTGCTTCTGCAAAGTGACAGCTTTCAGATACTTGGTGGCTTTTTGGATATGCATACCCTAGATGGCCTGGGCAGTTTCACATGTATTCTTGAAGTGAACACGAAGATTTGAACCTCTTGATTTGCATGAATTTGTGGGCTTTTCCAGGTCATGTGAAGAGCTAACCATTTTCAGAGATCACCTTGGGCCACTTACAGGAAGAGCAAAAGTTTATAATTTTAAAAGTTGAAAGAATACTACAACCCAAATATCCTTGCATGAAGGAAGTAAGGTATTCCCTTATTCTTACCTGTACTTACCCCTTAAGAACTAGGTGAAATTGTATGGGTCTCCCTTTTTTTTTCCTAATTTTTTATGTTTATTTTACTTTTGAGAGACAGTGCAAGTGGGGGAGAGGCAGAGAGAGAGGGGTACAGAGGATCTGAAGCGGGCTCTGTGCTGACAACAGAGAGCCCTATGTGGGGCTTGAACTCATAATGGTGAGATCATGACCTGAGCTGAAGTTGGATGCTTAACGAACTCAGCCACCCAGATGCCCCTGTATGGGTCTTTTAATTCCCTTTCCTACTAAAGCATCCCCACCGGAGAGTGGATCTTAAGATGTAATTTAAGTAATCGCATTTGTCTAGTGGCCACCCTATTGGACAGCATATCTCTCTCTCAGTGTTTAAAGCTCATGCTGTGGTAATGGGGAGCCATCGAAAGTATTTGAACAGGAGAGAAGAAATGACTAGATTTAAATTTAACAAATCCCATTAGTAGCTGTGTATAGGGAGGAGAAATTAATTGAAGCTATAAAGACTAGTACATAGGGGGTGTATAGCTCAGTAGTAGAGCATTTGACTGCAAACACTAGTACATAACTACATAACAGTTCAAATGAAGGACTGTCTTAAACAATGGCAGATGGTTGGACAAATGTTTGCAAAATCAAAGGTGATTTTGTAATTATTTCATAACTACTTATTACATTGGATTATGACCAGCTTGATAGCAGAGTCTGTATCTTAATGGTAACAAACATTTTGAGTAATTGCTAAATGGCAGGCATTGTTGAATGCTTTACATATATTATCTCATTTAGTGCCTTCAGTACTCTATGAGGTAGGAAATATTATAGATGAAGAATGGATCAGAGAGATGAAGTAACCTGCCTAAAGTCACACAGCCCATAAATACAAAGATTTGATAGGAAAAGAATACAATTAAAATCATTAGGCAAGGGGCATCATGAAATATTGAAATGTGTTGCCCAGAATATTCCTGTTTTATGTGAGTTTCCTAGCTCTTTTCACATCGTAGGTTATAAAAATAATACTTGAGCATATACTTTGTGCTAGGCATTGTTTTAAGCCCTTGAAATAGATTATTTAATTTTCACAAAGATACTATCAGACTCATTTTTATAGAGGATAAAATTGATGTGCAAACATAGGATAACTTGTTTAAGAAAGTAGCAGGGCAAGTATTAAGAGTCTACACAATTGGACCCCAGTGTTCCTGCAGTATATAATACATTTGTGGGTTGTATTTAATTAATAGTGTACAAATGGAGAGAGAGACCATACTGTGGTGTTTCAGTATGCCAAACTCTTAACCATGAAAGTGACTAAGCTTGAAATTTAATTAATATGGTTTCTGGGTGTGTGGAGATCTTTCTTTTTATGGTTTTTGGCAGTAAAATGTAGATTCTCTAAGAATTATGTCAGGCTGTGTGGAATGTGGCTGTATTATGTGTTAAATTGTTTATGGCCCTGAGTTTACTGACCCTAACTCTTTTCCTCTTATTTGCTCACTAAAGTAGTGCTTATAATTCAAAGACAGTATAGTGTAGGGGAAGGAGCACAGTTGGAGTCATATATCTTGCACTTTAATCCCAGCACTGTCAATTACTAGCTGTATGACTGTAGACAAGTTATATATTCTAGAACATCCCTTTTCTACAGAATGGGGAAATGAAACCTCTGGATAGGTTTAAGGAGTAAATGGGATGATACATATTTTTTTCAAATACCTGCTGTAGTACTGAGCACATGGCATGTGCTCAAAAAACTGTAACTGCCTTACTTTTACTAAACAAAACATATTCAGATTTAAGTACCATTTCTTTCCTTATGATTGTTCAAATTCCTAGAAGAACTCTGTACCTGACAACCAATTGGTAACCCTGACCTTTAGACTTTGAACCAGATATTGTAGAGTTCCTAAGTAAACTATGAAGAGAAATGCATGAATTCTTTATGGTGTTATGAGACTGTTTTGTATTGAACTTTTACAGAAAGATAATCCTATGCTTTATTAAAAGCAACAATGGTAAGGAAAACTCCACCTACTTGTATTTCTGGAATCCTATCCTGAATGGATAAATGAGTAAATGAAAAAATGAATAATGTGCTAGTTGAAAATGAAAATAACAAGTATTGGAACCCTTGAGAAAATTTCTCATATGAGGTAGTTCTTTTTCTGAGATATTTCCATTTTCTTTCTCAGTCATCATGTAGATAGTGGCAATTCATGATCTGATTTTGGAACAGTATATAAATAGAAAAAACAAATACACAAAAGGTCAGCAGTCTCTGCATATTCTGGGAACATTCTTTTAGCAATTCTGATTTGTAGTGTAATGCTTTTATTTTAGGGAAATAAATTACTTGAGTTCCCTTTATCCAAGAGCACTGCCTAACTAATAATATTTAATGACTAAGTAGGACTTCTGAGTATCATTGAAATTTACTGCAGTAAAGAAGTATTGAGAGGAAGGAAATAAATCTGAGCATCATTTTTAATGATGCAGTGTATATTTAACGACATTTCTGAAGAATCCTTTTTTCTTTAAATAAACTTTGAGATATAACTTACAGACCATAAAATGCACAAATTTTAAGTGTCAGATTTCATGTTTTGATACAAACAAACATTTGTGTAACCACTATATAAGAGAACATTTCTATCACTTAGGGAAGTTCCCTTTGTGTCCCTTTGTAGTCCTCCGAAGGACAGCCAGCCAGTGATCTAATTTCTGTCACCATAGTCTGCTCTAGAAGTTTGTATAAATGAAATCCTACAGTGTCTAAACTTTAATGCCTGGTATTTCTTGCACAATATGTTTTTGAAAAATTTTAGATCTTTTTTTAATGCTTATTTATTTGTTTTGAGAGTGCGAGTGCATGAGTGGGGGAAGGACACAGAGAGAGGGAGAGAGAGAATCCCAAGCAGGCTCTGCACTGTCAGCACAAAGCCCAAGGTGGGGCTCAAACTCACGAAACCATGAGATCATGACCTGAACTGAAATTAAGAGTGAGAGGCCTTAACCCACTGAGCCACCCAGGTGCCCCTGTTCTTGAAATTTCTATTTGTTGTTGTATCAATGGGTCTATTAAGTGTTATTCCTGAATAGCATTCCACTGTATGAATATACCACGATTTCTTTGTCAGTTAACTGGTTGATGGAATTTTGGGTTGTTTCTAGCTTTTGCCTATTAAAAATCTGTGAATATTTTTGTATGTTTTTGTAGTTATATATATTTTTTTCTCTCAAGGAGGGGCCGTGTGGTATGTCTGTGTTTAATTTTAAAAGAAACTTCCTATTTTCTAAATGATTATACCATTTTATACTCCTACCAGAAGTGTGAGTTCTAGTTTCTCCACATCTCCAACACTTGGTGTGGTCAGACTTTTTAGTTTTAGCCATTCTAGTGGGTGTGTAATAGGTATTCCATTTGATTTTTATTTGCTTTTCTCTGGATAACTAATGTTGTTGATCATGCTTTCTTACACTATTTGGTCATTTATGTATTCCCTTTTGTAAAGTGTCCGACCATTGTTGAGTTGCTATCCTTTTAGTATTGATTTTTAGGAGTTCTTTATATATTCTTGGTGTAAGTCCTTTGTTAAGTGTATGTATTAAGAATATTTTCAGCTCATGTATGGCTAGCCTTTTCATCGTCTTAATGGTGTCTTTTGCTGAATAGATGTTTTTAATTTTGATTACGAGTTATTTATTTATTTAATTTATTTTTGGTTTGTGATTTTTTTTGTGGCCTAGCCAAGAAATCTTTGTCTACCTCAAAGTTGCAAAGGTACTCCCCCTATATCTTCTTCTAGAAGAGTTTAGTTTTAGTTTTTATGTTTAGGTTAATGGTGTATCTCTGATTTTATTTTATTTATGTATTTTGTATTTCTCATTAATTCATGAACAAATATTTATTGAGCACCTGGTCAGTGCCAGGCATTGTTTAAGCACTTGGTATCCATTAGTAAACAAAAAGAAGTCGCTCATGGTAAGCCCTTAGAAAGGCCTTGCACTTGTGAAGCCTACATTTTAGGGGAAATGACAGACAATAAATTAATAAGTAAATAATATGTTATGGTAGAAGGTGAGAAAGCACCACAGTCTGGGGAAACACAATAGGGTCAGGTGAAGGTTAGTAAGAAGATTTGCAGTTTTAAGAAAGGGTAAAAGTAAGCTTTCTTGAGAATGCCATTTAAGGAATGACTTGAAGAAGATGAGGGAGTTAGCCATTCATGTATTTGGGGGAAGAGGCTTCTGGGTAGAGAAAACAGCTATTAAAAGACCATAAGGTGGGAGTATGTCTGGCATGTCCCAGTAACAGCCAGGGACATGAAATAGAGGGTGATAGTGGATAAGATCACAGAGATAGGGGAGGGAAAATTGTTTAGAATCTTATGGGACATTGTTAAGAGTATAGCTCTTTGTGTGAGTTCCATGGGAAGTCATTTGAGGGTTCACTATACTTAAAAGACATTTTATTTATTTTTCTTTTTTAATAGAATTTATTGTCAAATTGGCTTCCATATAACACCCAGTGCTCATCCCAACAAGTGCCCTCCTCAAAGCCCATCACCCACTTTCCCCTCTTCCCTACCCCTCATCAACCCTCAGTTCTCTGTATTTAAGAGTCTCTTATGGTTTGTCTCCCTCCCTCTCTGTAACTGTTTTGCCCCTTCCCTTCCCCCATGATCTTCTGTTAAGTTTCTCAAGATCCACATATGAGCGAAAACATTTGGTATCTTTCTCTGACTGACTTATTTCACTAGGCATAATACCCTCCATTTCCATCCATGTTGCTGCAAATGGCCAAATTTCATTCTTTCTCATTGCCAAGTAGTATATTTAAACCACATCTTCTTTATCCATTCATCAGTTGGTGGACATTTAGGCTCTTTCC